ACAGGGAAGAAAGTCCAATTTGGAGCAGAGGGACAAGTTTAAGTATTTGATAGAAATGGTGGGCCAGTTACACTAACCATGGTGTTAGTGTAGCTTAGTGTGGCATATTTCTGCTAAAAAAAGTGTAGTGCAGTGGAATTTGGGTCTGCACTAACACTACAACCGCAGGCCCCCAAAACACACCCGCTACACTACGCTAACACACTGGTTAGCAGCACTTTGGCCCTTTAGCAGGTGTTAGTGGTCCATAGTGTATCAAAAACACACTGACGTTATGCTAACACTACATGTTTCTTTGTGAGAAAAGACCACTACACTAACAGTTAGTGTTCAAATAGTGTAGATAGCGGCCCAATGTTGTTGATACACAAGAGAGAGTTTGGACCAATTATGATGTCATGAGTTCAAGGCTGAAGATGTGTTTTAACCATGACAAGATTTGCAGAGAGACCAGAAGAATGAAACTGATAAGGTGTAAGGGGTTTGAGTTTAGAGGTAGAGGGTTCAAGCATCAAAATTATTTTTTTGCAGAGCCTGGGAAGAAAAAAGTAATGGGAATTTAATCCCTCAATATTTGGAAGCAGAAACAACTTCCCTCACATCAAGGTGGCATCAATGCCCTTTGCAAATTACACATTCATTGCTCAAAGATCCAGGAGGCATCTCCATAATAACTTTATTTTCTTCTATTACACATGGATTCTCAAACAAATTTGTTTTCTTCTATTACACATGGATTCTCAAACAAATTTGTTTTTTTTCTCTTACATAAACAATATAGAGATGGTGCGGCAGGTACACATCTGATTTTCATGGAACCTGCTTCAAAGTGCTTGTGATCAAAGAACATTAATATGTATCACTTTCATCTCATCAAGTACCACTTGGACTTGAGGAAGACACTAAGCTAAATGTCTAGGAAGGCATCTGAATTAGGTTCCATGAAAATCAGACAGGTACCTGTCATGCCATCTCTAATACAATAATCTACATATTTGGATGAGTAGCAAAATAAAAATTTCTTTGTGTCCCAAAATGGCTACAAAGTGTTCAGGAGAACAAGCAGTGATGAATCATGAAAAGTTGGTCTGATAAATGGACAAAATGGCTTCAAAAACTGTATAGAATAACAAAGGGCAATTTTTGGCGGTTGAGCTTGCACAGCTTTCTCTTGAAAGAAAAAAGGAGAATACACACAGAGAACAAAGATCAAACCAGGCTTAGTTATACATCCAGTCCAGAACTCATGCAATGTGCAGGTGGTCTGGACTCTGACTAGCCACACTAGAAGTGGTTCTTTTTTCCTTCTGTTGTGGAAGGACTGAAAAACAAAAGGCAATGGAATGTATTAATGCCAGTCTGTTACTTGTGAGACAAAACTTTAGCATATCCTGGGGGCTATGTTGATCAGAAATGATGTTGGGGTTGAATCTTGATGAGTTGGTGGATTTGTTTACTGATTGCCAAATTGAAGGGAGATGGAGGTTGAATCCAGATTCCAGACAATTTGGTGTGTTTGTTGCATGTATACAGGTCTGATTGATTGGCCCTGTGATGGAACATTGGGGTCACACCTTTGACCCACTCAACAGTATTGGACACTATCATGGCTTGAAGATTTTTTGGCTACTATTGTACATTGCTAACCAGTTACATCCATGTAGGACTTTGCTCCTTGCCGCCTGATTTTGAGCTGAATAAAAGGATAAGATAGGGGTTTGTAAATTGTGGTGCATTGAATTGGGGCTCTGGTTTGGGACCACTTGCAACTACAGTGCACATCACCTCTTCTCAACTACCCCCAGGAGGGTGTTCCAAATTTTTCAAAATGGGAGTTGGATTTTTTTTTGAATTTTTTCACTTTTTTTCAATGCCATTTTTTTTTCTTTTTTTTTTTTTTTTTGAGATTTTTGTCCATACAAATCAGCAGACAAGACACAATCAGAACAAAGCCATGTACAAAAACCAAAACGCTTGCAACAGCCAAAGCTCCAGCCAATTGAAATCATTGATGAGATCTAATTGTTGCATTCCAAGGGCTGCAATGATGGATGTTTCAATTATGACTGCAAGTTAGCCGGGCAACTGGCACTGAGTTTTCCTATTTTTTTTCTCCTTCTTCCCTCAATATCATGTATTTAGATGGTCTATGTGCATAATACATACCATATAAATACATATTGCATACCCACTAGGCCATAGTATGGCCTTTTTCCATGGGTGTTCCAAATTTTGAATTTGAAAATTTCAAACTTTTTTGTCTTGCATGCTACAGAATCTTGCTTTATATTTTTGAATTCCACTACTTCTGTAGAGCTCAAATATGCATTGTTTACACATGTACAGCAGTTCCCAGAAAGCTTGCTGTCGCGAGCTCCTGGGATCCCAATTTTTTTTTTTTTTGTGCCTCGTTTTTTTTTGTTTTTCTGTCCTGTACGTGGCCTCGTACAGCCATAATATTCCAGGCATCATGGCCCAACTCCCCCATTTTTCAAGTTGAAGATATGGTAGTTGGACCATTGGATTCCTCTCATTTTTTTGAGTCGGAACCGGTCGTCACATCCGCTGCACCCAGCCCCCACCAGGCAACCGACAGGTGCCCGGAGGCCTCACCCGGCCTCGGCAGCAGATTCGCAACCTGTACAGTCATGTGTACAGGTTACAAGGCGCAAAAAAAAATTAAAAAAAAAAAAAAAAAAAAAAAACAGATCCCAGGAGCTCGCGAGCGCAAGCTTTCTGGGAACTGCTGTAGCATGGTTGGTGTGAACAAACATACAGATCAAAGTTCAAATTTTTTTTTGCAGGTGCGGGGTAGTCGAGAAGAGGTGATGCGCACTGTAGCTGTCCAGAAAATTGGATCACGGCGTTTTTTTAGGTTTAACGCCTCAAGAGCCAAAGTTGTTAAGCTTTGGTTGGTCGGAAATTGTCGATTCCGATTTGGGTGCGAGATAGATTGTGAAAAGATCGTTAAGCCAAGCCCGGCTCATATTGGACCGCTAGGCCTCATTGCAAAAGCTCCAAGAAATCAACTGCGTCAGGTGTGAATTTGATCCGGATAAAATTGTCGGTTGAAGAAGATCTGTCCGTGCTCCAAGAGTCTTTCGGACATCTGCAGAGTTCAGCTCCAGGGGTCTTGTCTCAAGAAAATCTCCAACCGAACCAAATGTCTGTATAGGGTGGAGTCTTCCCTATCACACGTGATTTTCTGTTTTGTGCATGGATTTTATTAAGGTGATCCTGGTCGTAAAATGCCCAGCGTCACCGTTCAAAATAAGGCCTTTTTGCCTTGCAAAAGTCAGCCCATTGATACGTCTGGTTAAATCCTCATCTTTTGACAAAAGGAATGGTTTGGCTGCTGAAGGGTAGACGAGCTGCGAGGGACAATAGAGGTATCTGGGATCAAGCCAAACAAAATGTCTCAAAGCACAAGATTTCATTTTTGTCTTCAGTTGACATCAGGTTTCTGGCGTCGTCGATCGCCAGGAGTACCTTGAGCTGCCCGTCTTCGACGAAGTTGATACTTTCATTTGTTTTTTGATGTGGCCTCCTGGACAGATGTCATATGATGGGTTAGAAACTATCGCCTTCACTTTTACCGTACGTCTGAAGAAAACCTTTCAACCTTCTGCTGACCGCCGATTTGAAAACTGTGGCCACACTCTTTCACCAGTATAAGACTAGGTCACGCACCTCGAACTTCGAAGTCGTCGCATGGAAGTTGATTTATCTGATCGGGATCTTCTTTGCCTGTGAACTGGAGTTGCTTCTTAAGAATAAGATGATTCAGATTGTGACTCTTCGAGATGGAAGCATCCCAAGTGAGGATGCAAATGTTCATTCATCGGCCCACTCAATGTCAGAATATGCAAAACTGCTTCCAGTTGGCCATGTTATTCTCGCACTTTTTCCACTGTGAAAGCGGCCATACAAGACCAGAAAGTTGGCTCATGGTAATAGAGATGGTAGCAAACTTCAATGAAGTATCAATGTTATCTCTTTAGGTGGAGGTATCAACATCCATTTGATGATCCTGTACCTCTGTAGAATTAATTTGCACATATCCAAAACTTTACTGACTTGTTAAAATCTGGCTTGCTTTGACAAAGGTCTCATGTTCACAATCAAGAACTTGGCATGGTGCTCGTGAGAAATGTTACGTGGATAGGAGGATCACAAAGACTATTTCTTCGGAGGTTCGTAATTTCCCCACCTTTACCTACTGCGCCGAGGTGTGCTGATGAAATCCTTCTCAAGAATACCTTTGCCTATTTGTCGCGGGGTGCTGATGAAATCCTTCTCAAGAATTCAGGTTAAAAAGCATGCAATCCCACCGGCAACTCGTCGACCGTATCAGAGTCACGTTGTCACATCGCTCGGGGGTTTGCAACCCATAACACGTGGGGGTATATGGGGGCGTCATAGGCGTCATGGTTCAAAAAGCCAAGAGAGGAAGAGAGAAATTGGAGGCATGATATGGTGTACCGTGGCTCTGACGGCCCGGCGCCACTTGTACCTCCAACCATGATTATCCATTGCAGTCCAGGTTTCAATCCCATCAAACCCGTGTCATAGTAATTTTCGGGACGGATTGGTTATCTCCAGTAATTCTATGTACCACCATAAATGATACCCAAGACTCAGGCTGACTATTTCCTGCGATCTTTCCCATCCGAGATGGTCAGCCCCATTCGAAGTGTTACTCAAAAATGTGTAAAAGTGTGTCCTGGGGCTGAAAAATGATTAAGCTGATCCATACATCCAGTGAAACTTGCATTGAGAGAATTTTTCTCATTTGCCTTCTTCTATGTATGCTATTTCTGTTGTACGGTTGGTGACCCCGAGCGTTCCCAGAATCCTGTACCCATCCAAGCGTGAGCCGAGCCATCTTTGGAGGGCGCGATCTACCCTCTTTCCTCTCTGCAAAGATCATCGACAACTGACGATCCGTTGAAGAACTAGTGAGAATGGTCAGATTGTTCCTTGCCGCTACTCTCCTCGTGGAAACTCTATACGCGGTCCAATGCTTGAGCCTGGCCCATGAACCACGCCCCCAGATTTACCATAGGTACCGCGCGTCGATGCGAGCCGAATCCCTCACAGCAAGAAACCTAGCGCCAGGCCCACCGAAATCGGCTGCCGGAACCCCGGAGAAGCTAATGCGATCACCTTCACCGCTATCCGAACAAATTCCTGCCGCTCCGCTCTTACAGAAGGGATCCAAGATCAATCATAAAGGGACACACCAGCAAGCACGGAAAATTGGCGTAAGGATCAGGAAGAAACGCGGCCTAGGGAATCGTAAAGATCTGATAGAAACAGAAATGATAAAGAAAATCAAGGGAAAGATGAAAGAAGTTCAACAGGTTAGTCGGATATCTTAACCAAGGGGACATGTCCAAAAGTGTGCTGATGGCGAATTTTCAGTCCAACGAACATCATAAGCTATTGTTGGATGGCGCCGGTTCGCGGAACGAACGTCCGACATCATTATTGGGAGGCGATGGTTCGCGAGAAGCGCTTCAGAGATCTCCATTGGATCGCGATAGCTCGCAGGAAGCGCCCCATGGATCTTTATCTGGTCGTGATGGCTCGCGGGAATCGCTTCAGAGATCTTTATTGGGTGGCGTTGGATCACGGTCAGTCAGGTTTGTAGGAGAAAGCTCGACGGCGTTGCAAGGGATCGCGAGATCCCAATGGCGAGCCGCTGCGACCAGAATCAAGGCAATCCAGGCTTTCACAGAAGACGGTTCAGGCAGAAAGATAATGCAAAAGGTCGGGCAAGTTTTGGGAGAAGCTGAACATGTCAGTCTAAGCACGGCAGACAGGGTAGCGACATTGCTCGATTTTTTCGCCCGAAAGATCGGGCACGTGTTTGAAATTCTGGAGATAGAGGAAATCCTAGAACGAGGTGAATTGTGGGCACTTTGGTGTGTAGCAAGGGCGATCTCAGAAGGCGGTGAAATCCTAAAATTTGATTAATACGGGTCCACACAAGGTCGCGTCCACCTGGAGCATCTTGTCCCAATTGTAGCCATAAAAGAAGCTAGATCTGACCTCACACATAGAAGCAATCCTCATCACATAATTTGTATTCCTCCCAAACACTGCCAACCTTTGAAATCTTCCTCTTCAAAAAAAGCTGACACACATGATTGTATTAATTGCTTAATTATTTTTATTTTACCAATATTCATTATCTTGATTATAATGGTGATTTCCAGTACATGAGGAAAGTAACGCCGAAAATTAGCCCTTTCCATGTGTATGTATCTCAACTCGAATCATCGCATGCCATCAATATAGTTTTTGCATGTACATATTTCTTAGAAAATTTAAAGATTCTTCTTTGTATGCCAAAATTATTTTTGATGGTAAATACTAGAATTGAAGAAAGCTGCAGCCTTAAGATAGGATTCACAGCTAACCTGTTGAATGCAGAATCTGTCCATGGTGGCTGAAACTCAGAGGAATCCAACTAAGTAACGACATGAAGGGTCCAAAGCGAAAGTAGAAGAGGTGGAAGTAGCCCCTATCTGCAGATGTTTCTCTCGAGATGGAGAAATCTGAAAAATTGTTGGACCTTGATGGAGAGTCGGGGGTGACCGGGGGTCCCTCGGGGCGTTGGAGTCCATTCGGTCCGATCGGTGTTCGGTCTGACCCGTGGCGCAAAATCTTATAGGAAAGAGCTCAACAGCGAAAAAAACCCAATACGCATCGAGCCTACAAAATGTCGGGCGAGGCTTTCAAGGAAAGAATCGTGGTCAACTCGCTCCTTTGCGCCGCCCCGGTCAATCGCTTTTCTTCCTGTTCAACCCTAGTCAGATCAAAGCAATCGGTCGAAGTAGTCTTTGGGACCGGCCAGCAGATAGCGATATGGAACTGTACAAGTCGAAATCGATACCCAACTTTGAAGCTTTTAAAAGGTCATAAGGGATGCATAACAGCTATCAAAAACCTGGAACGAGATTCTTTGAGATTTGTCAGCGGTGACTTGAATGGTACAGTCCTTGTATGGGCTCCGGATGGCGGTAAGTGGCTCATGACCTATCTACAAATATCGGCCAGCGCTGCAGCGCTAAACCCACCGTTTTCTTATGATTCAATGCTGATAGAGCGGTCCTCTTTTCAAATTTATTCATAATTCATGTTGCTTGAAATTTACCAGAAGGACTATGGCAAACCGTAGCGCATCTCGCAGGCCACAAACGATCCATTTCATGTATATCATGCATCCGACTACCTATACGCAACGAAAACGGCTGTTCAAGCTCAGAAGAAGAGTTCCTGATCGTCGCGGGTGCTTCTGATGGATGCTTCATTACTTGGAAAATATCGATCAATTCCCAAATGGGTAGGTGTGTCATTGCTCTTTCTATCCACTCTACCTCAGTATTCTCGTTATAAAATGTGTGTTCATAGCCTACAACTCACAAAATTTCGCATTTTTTTAATTAGTATGATGGCCGCAAGCGAACCAGTTGAAGCCCTTCAGACCATCCAGCTGGGAAACCAAATTGCTCTAGATGCGGCTTTGGCTTTTTTGCCCGACCAATCAACACGTGGGTTGTAATTTGACTGCCTTAAAAATCCGACTCCTGATCACATGATTTTGCGTCATCAATTGGGCGATTTTGTAGACTTGGTATTGGCCTTGGCAGGTACTGATAACAAGGTCGCAGTTTACTCGCTTGCTCTGCCATCTCTAGTGGTAAGCATAATTTTACATACGAGATGTTGCAATCATTGGTTGTCTCTTATGCATGATTGTTTTAGTTTTCTTTATGCTTCCGCTTGCCAGGTCACACCGACTGGGTAAGATGTCTCGACTTCACATTGGATCCAAAACAACCAAGTAGTCTGCTTTTAGTCTCGGGGTCGCAAGACAATTTCATTCGGATTTGGAGGTGCGATCAGCAGGTTCAACCAATCATCCAGCAAACCCATGATCCAATCAGCAACTCAGCAACAGACGATCCATTTCAAACGCTAGATGAGTTAACACAAGCGCTGAAAGATGAAGGCCAACTGACCCCGCTTGAAACAAACCGCCAGAAGGTTGAAATGAAACGATATCCAATCAAAAACACGCACTGGAGCTTTGTTTCTGACGCAATCCTTTACGGTCACGAAAGCTGGGTAACCAATGTTCATTGGTGCATCAATCAGTCTGGCCTGTTACAGCTCCTTTCGACGTCATCAGACCGCTCCATGATCATGTGGCGGCCATCTGAAGAATTTGATAATATTTGGCTCAACGTTGAGCGGTTTGGCGAATTGGGAACTTCTACCAATCTAGGACTTTTTGGGGCGCACTACTTCGTTGGTCCCCATGATCAAACAGAGACTGTTTTGGCGTCCGGATGGACACGATCTTGGCACCGCTGGAGCAAAGAAGACAAAGCCGTGTGGGAACCTCAAGTCGCGCCTACTGGTCATTACTCTGGTGTTACTGGATTGGATTGGGAAAAAGAAGGCGAATATCTGGCGAGCTGCTCTGACGATCAAACTACACGGTTGTGGGGTTCTTGGAGGAACTCTCAAATCGAAACTCCGACCAATCCTAGTTGGCATGAGATATGCCGCCCTCAGGCGCATGGCCACAACCTCTTTGGGGTGAGCTTCATTGGTGATCGCCGAAGTAAATTTGTCAGCATTTCGGAAGAGAAGGTTATACGAGTGTTTGACATGACTCAAGATTTCATACAAGTGACTCAAGAATTGGGCACCACAAAGTTACCCTTCCAAAAGGCGGACGCACGACCACAACGGGCTACGGTGCCTCCTTTGGGGCTCAGTAATCGCGTCGAAGATACCGAAGAAAATGAGAAAGATCCTCATGATACTGGTAGTCAACAGTCCTGTCCCCCATTTGAAGACCAATTATTATCTCACACGCTTTGGCCAGAGTCAGTCACGAAAGACAACTGTTAACATAGGCTGCACCGAGCTCACGGCCTTTCCCTTTTTTGTATATTTCGTGATAGGATCGACAAAATTTACGGCCATCCCTCCGAGCTTTCCGCCATCACAAGCTCACACTGTGGTCGAATCATTGCATCTGCCTGTCATGCCAATTCTTCCCAGACAGCAAGCATACGGTTGCATTCTGCCGATGACTTCAGCCCTATTCAACCTGGCATCCTCGAGGGGCATCAGCTCACCGTTACACGTTTGGCATTCAATTCTGATGCCTCTAAACTGCTGAGTGTGAGCAGAGACCGGTCGTGGGCTATATGGAATAGGATACCCTCATCCGATGGCTTTGTGGTGGATGAGCGCAGGGAGAAAGCGCACGCGCGGATCATTTGGGACGCATGCTGGGCAACATCTTCTACTGACATGTTTGTCACCGGCTCCAGGGACAAATCTGTAAGTAAAAGCTGCCCAAGACTAAAATATCAATCATCTGATGCGACTTGTGATCTGGTTTGTAGGTCAAAACCTGGGTTCGAGGTAGTTCTTCTTGGGATGTGGCTGACATAATTAAATGTGATCAACCCGTGAAGTCATGTGCTATCTCTCCTCATCTTTCACAACAAAATAAGTAAGATTTTTTCGAGGATTTGCTCCCTCTGATTTGTCTCAACTAAACTAATTACTTGCCAATTATGCTAGGATGTTACTGGCCATTGGTTTAGAAGATGGAGTCATAGCCCTGTATACCAGCACAGAACCTACTGGATGGGAGCGCATTGGAGGAGTTGCACTTGCGTAGGTCGTTGCCTGTTTTTTCCTGCCGCGGCCGGTCATCTTACAAACTGCCTTCTATTGATTTCGTCAGGTCAATTCGCCATGCAGGGCCAGTCAATATACTCACATTCTCGCCAGAGTCTTTGAAGGCTGGCAAATTTCGACTAGCAAGCGGGGGTGAAGATGAGGTAGTGCAAATCGTTGACTTGGATTTGGAACCTTCATGTTGATTGCTGTCAATCACGTTTACAATCCATTCACATCTTGCTTGTGCGCGCTTCGAGCATGGTGCCCTAGAAGTTGTCATCGTTTCCTCCTCCCGCGAAGCTTTGTTTTTCATTTTGGAGGACTTGCTCGATTGAATTGATACTACGGAAAGTTTTTTACAATTTCTCATTGAGCACAGGTGAAAATACAGACCACTTGATTGTCATGTCTACATATTTGCAAAATTCCATCCGCACCAAAATCCAGTCTACAAGTCAACAAAGTCAGAACTCCTTGACAGTTCCGCCTTAAATGTGGAAAGAGTGCGACTTTACCATAGCTTAGCTTTAGCCGTATCTGTACATATTGGGATCGACGACCCACTGTGCCAAATGATTTTTCAGGAACTCGTCGTAGGACCATACACTTGGCAAGACTTTGTGTGATACTATCGCGGGTGAGTAAAGATACACAATGGCTTCTACAGGAGGGCTGTTGGAATTCATCAACTTGACGTGCGCTGTGTGCGACTCGTATTCCTGGATGTATATAAAGTCTTGATCAGCATGTCGTACCAGTGGAATGTGTGAGGGGAAAAGCGATTACCACTTACTTCGCCCTCAAACGCATCCAACAAAGTCACATCAGAAGCACTCAGACCAGAAACGATCATCCCAGTAACTGTTTGTTCTTCGAGAGTAGGTGGGCGCTTGAGGGCAACTTCGGCAGCTGACGCGGGTATCAAGCCTGGGTAATGAGCATCACGAATGTTGAATCGACAGTACCCCTAGAAAAATCAACATCATGACGAGAAAATAACAAGTGAATATGTGCAAGTGCCATTTCGTTTCAGGAGGTTTAAAAAGGACTAGTACAAACGGATAACTGGGCAGGCTGAATGTTCAGTTTATTTATTGGTCGACCTATCACCCGTTCGAGAATGTGTTCATTCATCAACGTGCCATAACTGAAATATTTTTACATCTTCGTCAGACTTTAGGTGCAAGAACACAAACACGAATTCACTTTCTCTTGTAATATCAAAGGGAATCCACGCCAACTGTAATATTTTGGCGAGGCAAAGCGGAACTTATATTGAAGAAGCAAACGAACATAATGAAACTCACAAAAACATTGGCATAGGTTGAATGCCTGGAGCACTTGAGACTGGGAGTCCTTCCATGGTGTTTCAAGACGTGGCCTTTCTGCTTCTTCGTGTCTGCTGCTTATCGTCCGACGCGAGATGTGCAGAGGGCTGAAAGAGAAAAGGTCTGGAAAAGACAGTTGTGGCAGGAGGCGGGAAATTTCAACGATTTTCTGAACAAGCCAGAAAAAGATCCGGAAAACTGTCCAATTGTGAGAGAAAGACATTCATGTACATAAAAACAGGAGCAATGTTGAAAAAATTAACCCCACAGATTCAGCACTACCTACAATTAACCCAACCCCCTCGATCGAAGGGCCTGGTATATTAGCTAACTCAACCAAGTCCCTTCTTGCCTGAGGCTTTGCTGGAGGGACTTACACCTTAGCAAGAATTCTCACATGAAAGCCTTTTGAGTTTTGGTGGTAAAATTCAAACTAGATGGCTAGCAGCCTAGCTAGCCATTCATAATTTTGATGCCAGATTTGCCTCCATAGCTATCTTCTCATAATCTGGGATCATGTATTCCTAGTGGTCCTCATGGCGGTTTTATTTTTCAAAAACTTCAATTTCATCAAAATTTGACCGGATGACCAAGCTGAAAATGTCCAAGAAATACACTTTTGCTTCTCTGTTTTTCACAGTGCCTATGGCACTATCATGATGAATACTTGGAAACATTGGCACAAGCCCTTAGTTTTACGTTTGCTGTTATAGCCATGAGATTCAAGATGTTGCCCTGCAAATCTGTAGAGTTAAGACTGATCCAAAATCCTTGCAAAGTATCTCATTTGAAAATGGCATGAGCATGATTCTAATCCCCCATGGATATAAAGCTCAAGGTTACATCACACATTGATCATTCAATTGACTCAATTTTTTCAAATGGTTTCATCCAATCACAACATTCAAAAAACCAGTCCAGTTTCCTTTCCTTCCCAGAATTGGTTCAGTCCATCTTCTACTGCATTTCAGGCCCAATTTAAATTCAAGAGTGAGTTATAGCTTTAGGATATTGTGTTGACATATGCTTATATTCACTATGCAGTATGCTTCAACCATAACACAAACAACCATGTGTATAGTCTATACTTGGTTGCTCCATTCAGAACCTTATCTTCCTCACTCCCAAGTGTCATAAAACTCTGTGTCTATGAACTTCAAGTTTCTTGTACCCTGTCCCACTCAACACACTGAATAGAGATTGTTTGTTCGGACCTGGGCACCTGTTTATACCTAGGTACCTGTTCATTTTTTCAAGAAAATATATACCATGTACCGCACCAGACACCTCCCAGGGGGTACCGGCGGTACCTGTTGCAGGTACCTCCTTTTTCACCTAGTTTCACTCCCAGAGTCCCAAGTCACTTGATTATCATTTTTTTCATATTTATTGTAAAATGTCACTCACAAGTCACTTTTGGCATTTTTTCATATCTGTTGAACTTGTAATATATCTACATCCAATTGGAAGAATCTTACTTTTCTATTTTTTCATATTTATTGTAAAACATCAGTCCCAAGTCACTTCTTTCATTTGTTCATATTTAATAATTTATTGTGAAGTTTGAACTATCTACAACTTATAACTGATTGGAAGAATCTTCATTGTTGTCCAAAACTATCACCTTCCTTTTTGATTTTTGGCTTGTTATCCTTGAGTCCCTGTTTCCATGCAGCCACGGTACCTTCTTGGAGTAGAAGGACACCATCATTTTGGTAGGGAAGTGAGGGGGTCCCTGGAGCGGTATCTAGGTACCTGTTCAATTTTTCACAAAAATAGGTATCAAGTACCACACCTGGCACCCCCTGGTGGGTGCGGGGAGGGTTCAAGGGGTGACCCCTAAGTGGTACTAGGTACCTGCAAAAAGTACAGCGGAACAATCTCTAACATTGGAGCTAGGCTAATGATAAGGACGTGCTAAGGCTAGGATAATGATAAGGATGTGCTAAGATAAGGAAAAGTTGAAGTGGTGGACAAATTGTTGTTAATCAAAGGGCCAAAGTGAATTGAACTGGTTTTTTTAAGGAATTCAAGTAAGGCATTTCTGTGAGATAGAAATCAGTGGCCCCTTAGAGAAATGATTTTTATAGGTTTGGATTTGGCAACAACAAATCAACAGGATTGGAGAATGCAAAGGTCAAAAGAATATGTGTGTGTTGTGTAGTTGCTAGTCAAATTAGAATCTAAATTCACTCTGAATTTGGAGGGGGATGCCAATGTGCCATACTGCAGGGACTCTCACAAGGAGATACTTGGGTCTTATGTCAAATTTTCTGCACCAGCCTAGATTCAAATTATTCACTTTCCATTGGCACTCATTATAGCTCCTTTAGTTTTCTCAACCCCACTAGTAGTCATGGGGATTGGTGAAATGGTTTATAACAAGCTTCAAAGATTTAGTGAAAAAACAACAAAAAAGAACAAAGTTTTGAAACTTGTAAAAAATAAACAAAAACAAGCAAAGAATTTAGGGGCTTGGAAAAATGACTCCTAATTAAAATTAGCCAAGGTCAACATTGGGAGGACCATTGGCGGACCACTTTGGGACCAACTCTGGACCAGTTAAACTAACCGTAGTGTAGCGGAATTCCGCTAAAATTTAGTGTAGTGTAGCGGAATTCCACCACATCTGCACTAACACTATGCGCATATGCCCCAAAAAAGAGCCCACTATGGTACACTAACACACTATTTAGAAGTTTCCTGTAGCGCTATTAGCGGCCTGTAGCGCAGCGTAGCATAGCAAAAATCCACTGAAAAAATGCTAAAACTACAAATTTTTGGTGCAAAAAAAGCACCGCTACACTACGTTATTTGGGCCAAAAGTGTAGCGGCCCACCACTGCAGGACCTGTACCTTAGTCCGGGGAGTCATCAGACCAATATTGACTTGTGTTTTGGGAGCTGTCTACCCATTTTTAAAGGGACTTGGAAAAAATGACTCCTAAAAATTAGTTGACAACTCCTATTACTGCCTGTCACCTCTCAGCAGCTGGTAGGATTCCTCTGGTTGCTGAGAGGTGTACACTCTCAGAGACTGAGAGAATCTTCTTGGCCGCTGAGGGTGTACAGCTCTCAGCAACCGAGAGAATCCTCTTGGTTTCTGAGAGCTGTACACTCTCAGTGACCGGGAGGAATCCTCCTGGTCGTTGAGAGGTGTACACCCTCAGAAACCGGGAGAATTCCTCTCAGTCGCTGAGTTTTGTACACTCTCAGAGGCTGAGAGTGATAACTCCAGGCCATTGAGGTGTACAGGCTGGCGGGGGGGGATGGACTTCAATGGCCAGGAGGATTCCCTCCGGCCACTGAACGTGTCCGAATCTTGACAGCCGGGAGGGCCGTCAAGATTTGGAGGGCATTCCCCAAAGATTAATCTGGGGAATAATTTATTTTTCATTATTTTAATGAGAGAATCGACTCCCATTTCTACTGTGAGGAGTGACTCCCACAGCTTAGGGGGAGCCAGGTTTTTGGGGCTGGGGACGTCCTGGGACTGTCCCCAAGTGGTCCTCCCAACAACTTCCAAATTTGGGAGGCAATCCTCCCAAGTTTTGGAGTTGATTAGCTAAGGCCCTTTTTTGCAAGTGTTAGCTTCAAATAATCTCAGCTAAACTAACAGGTAGTGTAACTTTTTTTTGCGCTAACAAAATTTTGACTGTCAGATAGTGTAACTGATTTGACACTAACATTTAGTGTAACTTATACCAAATTAAGCTAAGCTGCACAGGCAGGGCACTTTGCAAAAAGCAGCGCAGCCCAGGGATGCCTTTGTACCTGGGACACCCCTGGGCTGGGGTGCCGTCCACAGGACACCACTGTCCAGGCCTGGCATCTCTATCACGTCCCACAGAAAAATGTAGGGCAGCCCAGGGATGTCATTGTCCCCAAGCCGTCCCCACATCCTACATGCTGTCCCCAGGTCATCACCGCAAACTGAGTCTCCCCGTGACATTGGTTTCAATGGGGGGTCAGCCCAAGGTTGGCCTGCACCAATCCGCCTGAGCAGTGCTAAACTTTTGATTCTCTATTGGTGGTTTGGGAATAACCTTGGTCATTCCCCCTTTCCAATTTTTTTTATTGTTTAGTTTTTGGGAGTTGGCCTTGGGCAACAAGGCAGACTCCCCAGTGGTCCAATGGCTGATCCTGTGGTGAATGGTGGATCAGCCCCACTGAACCCCATTCGGAGTGAATGTCACACGCAACGGATGAGACAGTGATCATTGGCACACACAGTTGAAGTCCCCAACAATGACCATCTCATCCACTTAAATTTCTGAAATCTTTCACAGATGTGTGCTTCATCTGTTGATTTGTCCTGTCTCACCTCCCCCCTTCAGATCAAACACCTTCACACACAGCATGTCCGTTGTTGATGTTGATTCCTCAGACTCCGAAAGCGGTGACCAATCGCCTTTGCCAGCACCTTCAGATCACGCAATGTTACACAATCTCAAGCTAGCGATCACTGGCAGGGCTTTCAGTTCCTGGACACCGTTCATCAAACTGGCTGAGGACAATGGGGCTACCATTTTGACTGAATTCAAAATTTATTGCTTGCATCTGATATTTTTGTCCTTAGTACCTCCCAATGAAACCGACCCTGCAACATTTCAAATTGAGAAGGTTCAAGCCGCCTGGAAAGCCAAGAATATCAAAGTTGTTTGGCAAGAGTGGTTGGAAGGCTTATGGGTTCTTCACCCTGGATTGGCCATTTTGACACGGCCGCCTCAAACAGTCCCGGGCCTCCGCGCTCCTTGGCTAGCAAGACTCCGCAAAGCTCACCCACCCCGCTGTCCCGAGCCTACGTCTCCAAGGAGGGCCAGTCCAACCGGTCCCCTTCTCAGATTTGTCTCCAGGCAGCCAGCAGGCTCCGGAATATTGAACACCCATCGGCCCCTGCTCAACGCCTTCTTGAACGGCTCCCAACGCGGGATTGGCAAGATCACCTCCGGTAAGGATGAGATGATGGCCAAAGAGCTTGGAAGGTGTCACATCAAGCAGATGAATTGACAGCGGGAGTCCCTCCTAACACTAAAAACAATACTGATTTTGCCCCAAGGAAAAATGGCAATTTGGATGGTGGAAAATAGGTCAATTTTCTGGCACTTTTTTTACAAGATGCCTCAGGAGTAAAAAATTAGGCTAAAATGAGCTATTTTAGCCAAAAAATAAAAATGTCTCAAATGAGCTAAAAATTCATTTTGGAATGTTTGATGAATATCTATCTCTGGGCTAAAATATCTCAGTTTAGCCTAATTTCTACTCCTGAGGCATTTTGGAAAAAAATTTCAGAAATAGAGATGTCGCTCGATACCCGGGTACCTGTAGCGGGTGCGGGTACTTGCCTCAAAAATCCAATATTTTTGACACCCGCACCCGCACCCGCACCTGCTAGGGCAGCCAGGGCGGGTACCCGGGTACCTGCGCCGGGTACCTGCAGGTACCTGGCACATTTTTGCAGGCAAATATACCCAGAAATCTCACCCTTGAATTTCCCAATGACTTGGTAAATATAAGATTGATATTCACTAGATATATGAGTAAGAATAAAATAAAAATAAAGAAATAAAGAAAAACAAATTATTCCTTTGAATTTTATCTTCTCTCTGATCTATCTTTAGCTTTACCCTTTTGCTTGGCCTCATTTGCCTTATTCAATGTCCATTGATGAAGACTATACACCGTCTTTATGACTGGAGGAATTCCTCCAGTCATCAATACTGTACACCATCTCAAAGGCCGGAGGGAACCCTCCAGCCTCAACAAAGCAACCAGATTAGTTCAGCAACACATGTAAGACACCAGCTGGTGTCCTACATGGGTTGCTGACACCTTTGCGCAGCCCAACACACCCAAAAAAGGGAGTTTTGGACCACCAATGATAAATGAAATTCTTCAGGGGAAGCATTCCCAGGGCGGGTGTAAGGCGGGTACCCGGGTACCTGCCTTTTTTTACCGCAAATGTTGACACCCGCACCCGCACCGGGTACCTGTTTTCGGGTACCTGCTTTGGAAAACAGGTACCTGCAAACGGGTACCGGGTACCTTCAAACAGGTACCTGCTGACATCTCTATCCAGAAAATTGATCCATTTTCCCCCACCCAAATTGCCATTTATTTTTGGGGCAAAATGGGTATTGCTTGTAGTGTAAGCAGCCAAACCAATGGAATGATTGAAGAAGCAGAAGGTTTGTGTGCCCTTCCTATTTTTGTTTGTTACAATCTCAAAAAACTAGGAAACCCTTCAAATCCATTGAGCTTAGACTGATGACTTCCCTTGTTGATGGCTGGACAGAGAGTGATTTAATGCAGGAGGAGCCGATTGAGCCAGACCATGAGCTGGACTTTGAGGATGCTCCCTTGGACGCAATGGATAGCAAAGGTCCTGATACATCTATATTTTCTATCCATCTGTTTTTACTTGATGATCTCAGTGAAAGAGCTACTCATCACCCACTTGATATATTTTACCTATTTTTTTTCTCTTGTACATAGTGCTTGTCTCTCCTTCAGACAGGTTTGCACTGGTGCATTTCTCAATCAGATTTTTGTAGGTTTTTTGTTTTGTTTTTTGTTGTAAACAACCAATCATATGTTTCAAGGTGTTAGTCACAATAAATACGCTTTCACTATTTGATCCACTGTCTGCACATTAGTGTGTGATTATTGTGCAGTAATTAACCTTGAGTTTGCTGGTGGATGTGCATGCATATGTGCTGCACAATTGCCTCAAGGAGGATGTTTTTTGCCCAAAAAATGTTGCAATGCTGTCTGGGTGACAGCTCAGGGACAGCACTTTCAATGGTCTTCTAAATGTAATATTTTGCAAGAGATGGCCCTGAAATGCCTCCTAGGCATCCGTAGGAGACTGTGGGGGGACATCACATGGACGCTCCACCAAGACGTCCCACGGCTGGCCTTTTATTTTGGGAGGAGCACGTGTCTGGGATGCTCTGATCTGTGGGGGTGGCTGTCCTGGTGCCATCCTTCTGGACCCTGCCACTTGGACATCCAAGTGCACTGGGGGTGTACACTACACTACATGCCTAGTTAGGCTACACTACAGTAGAAGTTACAATACATATGTAGTGTAGTGTAACCCATCAATTAGATAAATTGATGTGTCAAGTCAGAATTTATTCTCTTGCAGCCTGGCATGCTCTTGAACCCTCTTACTCTGCTTTCTGTTTTCAATGGAAAAGTTGTGTGAACTTTCCATATAACTGATACGGCCAAGGTACATAGTGACAATTTTCAATGTCCTATGATTGCACACAATCCCACAGAAAATGAACAGCACAAGATGTAGAGAAAGTCAAACGGAGGATGTGCCTGGTGTATTTGAGTAGTGCTTCCTTTACCAACTGTGAATGAATAGACTAAAAGATTGTATTTCATTCTTACCAGTTTAAGGAAATACAGTAAATAGAAAGAAAGAAATGAAAAGTATAATCACCTAAAAGCAGTAGATGACTAATGATAAGAACAACAAGCGCTTATAAAGCAATGAGAATAACAAAGAGAAAGAGTTCTAACAAAAAGGATAGTGATCAATACATGAACAATGAATGAAGGATGAACCCCAATTGAGAACTACATGGAACGGGTTCAGGAAGGCGAGGATCGGCAAGTGTTGGTAAGTAGAAGGGATAAGGACTTTGGATGATCAGATGGATCAGATAGAGAAGTGAATGAATGATGTTCAACAGGCGAGGATGTATGTGAAATACGAGTGATTAATAGTGTTTGATGGATTCCAATTTATGTGTGGCGAGAAAGATGTAGTGAGACAAAATGATATGTCTGATGGAGAAAGAGAAAGAGGAGTTGGGTAGAGAGATGGGAAGAATGACAAGTGAGGATGAGGAATTCGAATAAAAGTTTTATTCCTAAGGAGAGGGAAGGAAGTGTTTTGGAACACTCCAAGAGAGTGATAAGGAAAAATAGAAGAGGATCGAGCGGAGTAAAGACCACACACAAGATTTAGAGAAGAGGATCGAGCGGAGTAGAGACCGCACACAAGATTTAGGAGGCTTAAGCAAACTGATGTCATTGCGAGGGCTTGAGCAAGATGACATCACCATTTCAATAGTGAGGGACAAAAGAATAGTCTAAGCTTTTTAGAGGAATTAAGCTTGGACATCAACACCAAATAGGCTACAGACACTTGTAGTTGCAAGGTTAGTTGGGTGGTAGTCCAAATAGTTCATGCCGACAGCTCCACCACACTCTGGTGATACATCATGGTAGCAGACTATCATACACCTCAACCCCCCCTTTCTACATGATGTGAAAGTGGAAATTGAACAAGTGTGGGAATGGAAGTATAATCTGAGGGGGAATTGAACCCATAATATTAAGGTAGTCTGACAGGGGAATGTGGTCTTACAAGTAAGTGTTAAAAATTGGCAGGGGGCTAAAATTGAGTGCCCCCCATTACCAACTGAAAAAAAAAGATGATCAATTGAGGGGACCTGGATGTAGGCCCCCCAATCAGGCACTGTCTCCAGGGTAGGTTAACGTTTAAACCCCCTCCCTCCGCTGTCAGGGTTTCACAAGAAAGATAACTGGATGTCACACTTTCTATAGTCTTTATGCCAAATCAGGACCTGTTATAAACAGGGTTATTTTTTATGTACCTGATGATCTGGTCCTTTGTGTAAAGGAGTATTCCCAGACAAAATGCCTACAACTGAAGTATCAAGGAAATATTACCTACTTGTACTATTTCCAAGCCAAGGGGGACTTCAGGAGGGGGAAAACTGGTCTGGAAGCGCTCAGAAAACTGGGTAACAGGTGGTGAGAGAGTGCTGGGGAACATTTGATGGTTGGTTGGTTGAACTTCAGGATGAAAAACAGCAGGAACTGGGCCAAAACAGGTGATAAACTGGTTGTTGGAGGTGGTTATTGCTGGTAAGTGATGATGAAGATGGGGAATCAGATTTTGGGGGCAAGAAGGTCTACTTATATACTCATTCTGGGCCCTTGGAGGCGAACTCAGAACTCGGTTTGGCTGGTGCAAGCCTCCTACTAGGCATTGGTGACCTGTAGCACTGCCTAGACACCTGTAGTCCTTGGTTACAGGTGGCAGAGGGCTGAAGTGAGGCTTGTAACACACACTAGGGGGCTCTGTGACAAACCTGCATCCATGTTTTGGTCACTGAGACCCTTTAATGACCAGTGGGCTGGTCTTAACCAGGCGTAGTTAGCCAAATTGGGCCAAAAAGGGCCACAAATGGCTTTTGACCAGCCAGTTACAGTTGTTGTGACAATGTAGTTAAGGTTTCAATGATGTCAACCTTATTTGTGGATTTTTCCCGAACTTCATGAACCTTAATTACATGTGTAGAACTGTCACAACATGTAGTATGATGTAACTGGGAGGGTTTCTAGCAAAATGAACAAGTGCCACTCAGAGTACACAGAAGTACATGAAGGAGTAATAATTAAGGGGTACCTTTGGTGAGGTACCCTAGGTTATTTTGCATGAAAATTAATAATCTGAAATAATATTCTAACTTTTGCTTAAGGTTTAGAATTTATTTGTAGATTCATGTTAAAAGTGTTTATTTATAAATGTTTTTGGTTTATTTTTATGTTTTCTTTTCATGACTATTAAAAATTAATGTAATGAGTAATAATGTCTCTATTATAGTGATTCCACTTATTTAAATATTAATGTTTTTATATGTACATATGTAATAATGTCTCTATATTATGTACATATAAAATAGACATTAATTACATATGCTATGGGGGTAGTATATGTAATAATGTCTCTAAGTATTTATTATGCTATGGTCAGGTTGTCTCTGAATATTAGCAGGCTGACAGAACTGATCCCATCCTCTCTCTGAACCAGGTAACTTCCTTCTAGTCTCTTTTCCTTCTCTTGTATTTCTTTCCCATTCAGATTTTCAGCAGAGAACTGATCCCATCCTCTCTCTGAACCAGAAATACAAAATTATTCTGTTTGGTCTTAGAATTTGATTAGGCTTTCTGCCCGTTGTGGTAAGCCACTACTGAAAATTCAAAGTTATCAAGAGTACAAATCACAGAGTAATCACAGGATCAAGACACCCCAGAAAGCTCCCCAGACCCCCAAAACCAATCATGAATCCCCTCAAGCACAGACCACATGGATAATAATATTTCCCAGCAGAAACTCCACAGCCCTGAAACTCATTCCCCTCCAAACATATTCTATTCTTCTTACCCCTTGTGTTCCACACTAGTAAAGATCCCCTTGGCCATGAAACAGGTATTTCCTCCTATCTCCTTCCATGGAATATTCCACCCCTTATTTGTTTCATACTAGTAACCTTGGGAGCATTTGCTCACTGCTTGTTTACCCTGTTTTCTCTGGATGAATATTTTCCCTTGTTTCATACTCTTCATAGAATGTTCCACTTATCTTCCAACCAAAAGCTGGCCACTCCCCAGAATTTTGTATATAAGGAGCTTTGTTTTTCCTCTTCATTTGTTCCTCATCAGATCCTGCCCCAGCAATTCAGATAACCAATCACCCATTATTAGCCAGGTATTTGCCCATCAACATTTGGGATACCTTGATCTGTGAACAAGTATATTTAGACTAGTAAACATAAGACATATTAGACATACCGTCCTCAAGAAATCTCCAAAGCCACACCTTTTTCCTTAAGAGTCCATACTCTTATATTTTCTTGTTATCAGAGAGGCAGCCCATTAAAGCACCCATCCCTCTCAAGCTCTATTCATCCCAAGAGTAGTTCCACACCATCCCCTGTGCCTCTTTCTCACTCATCTAGCAAAGGACTACCAGTCCTTACACTTTTTTTTTCTCACACCAAACACCAACAACGACTGGCAACGACTGCTCCAGACTACTACTTCGCATTACTTCACTTATTTTGAGCGTACTGTTCCGATTGACTTTGACTGTCCTGTTCCAATATACTGTTCCTCCCAACTTACTGGCCCAATCGATCAACCTCCCTTTTGTGACTGTCCTCCTCCTTCTTTATTATTCCATTCTCCAAAGCCCTTCCTTTGCGCTCAGTCTAGTACATGATAACACGGAACAACACCACTGCCAATAAGATAATCCCCTTATCTGATCCCAAAGCAATAATCAAAGCTGGAAACTCCAAAAAGAGGCGTAGTAAACAACTTTCAGCCCGATCTATTGCTCCTCTTCCTTTGAGATTGGATACAACTACTAGAATTATGTCAGACACAGTTCCCCCAACCCGTAGCCAAGAACAACCGGCCAATTCAACCCGCGACTCCACGCAAACCGCCAATGGTACAGAAATGAGTACGTCCAAAGAGTGGTTTAAGGCTGTACTCAAGGTCCAACACTCAGCTATCACTCAAGCCCAGGAAGATTGCCGACAAGCCTTAGAGGGTTGTTGAGCGGATCAAAAAATATTTCTTGAAACTCACCAAGCCACCTCGGACCGCATCTGCAGATTAGAAGACTTGCTCCTCACGATGAACATAAAGAATGAGATAGGCGCGTGAGCCAAGAAACCAGCGCCCAGACAAGTGGATTTACAAAAAATTTGTACATCCAACGGCCCCACCTATCACGGACCGTTTCAGGAAACCAAACCGTTCCTGCAATGGATTCATGGAGTACAAATTTTTTTGAGACAAAGAGCGTCAGCAATGTGGCCAACAAGATAAAAATCCTCGGGAATCTCATAGCAGAAGCTAACCTCCAGTCCTTTTATGCAAACAAGGTGTCAAGCTTCCTTACCAAGTCCTGGGAAGAATTCAAGGCTCATATGTTTTACTTTGCTCTTCCAAACAATTGGCATTTGGGACTACAACACCAAATACAAAAACTCAACATGTTGACAACTGAAACGTTCCTTGAGTACAGTACACGAGCTTGTTTAATTTTGATGCCAAGAAGTTCTCCAAGCTTGGGGATCTTCAACTAGCGCAGTTTTTTTGTTTACGGTCTGGCCAACACCCTACAAGATCAAATCAACAAGAGACAACTCCTGGAAGTTATCCCCTTCAATTATGGTCCATCCAAGAAACAAGCCAAAGCATCCTTCCTTGCATTACAACGACCCTCCAAACTGCTGACGATGTCCAAGGCAGCTTCTAACGCACCTCCATCACTAAGCCATGACGAGTTCTTATGGAAAATCCATGCGTATCTGGACTTGCAGGGCCTCTGCCATTTCTGCAAGAAACATTGCGGCAACACCTCAGGGACCTGCACCAGACCAATTAAACGCTCACACATCAACATTCCCAGAACCTTCCAGACCCCGCCTAAACTGCCAAACTACAAAGCCTCCCGCGCCTGGAGCAAGGAAGTTCCCACTCCAGGCAAACCGACCCATCCCCCTGCTGGATGCCCTACAGCTTGAGCTGCGACCGTGGCAGGTATCTCAACAGAACCACCACTCAAAGCCCAAGTCTCAGCCCTGACACTTGAGGCAGCAATCAGAGAAGACAAACAATTTGACAGTCAATTTGACAGCAAGGGCTGTTTTCCTAGCCTTGATGCAGCGGCCGTAGCTGCATTAGAAGACCTCGACCCAACTGCTCTTGAATGGAATCAAGAAAGTCACACAAGCGGACTTGGCAGATTGCATCACGGGACTCCATCTCATCGAATTAAATGGACCTTGTTGTTTTCCTTTCTTTTCCTCTTTCTCTCTTCATTTTTTTACATAGGGGGGGGGGGGCACTGTAAACCCCCTCCCTACTCTGTCAGGGTTTCACAAGATTTGATTGACAGGTCACACAAAGAGGGTTTTTCTTTATCATTTTTTCCTTTCCTGGCTCAGCAGAAAACTAACCCCAACTTCTCTCTGAGCCAGGTGAGTTTCTTACTAGTCTCTTCTTCTCCTCTTGTATTTCGTTTACATTCAGATTGTCAGAGAGAACTAACCCCGACTTCTCTCTGAGCCAGAAATCCATCCCCCTCTTGTTTGGTCTTAGAATGAACCTAGGCCTTCAGCCTGTTCCTGTGCCCTTTCTGCTCTTTCTGGTGAAGGACAATATCAGTCCTTACAGGTATCAAATATAGGAAATCCACCATTAGAAACCAGCTGTCACTTTTCTCACAACTTTTTTTTGCATCAATGGGTCCCAAAAGGGGTTAAATGAAGAACCAACATGTTCAAAAAAGGGTGGATTTTTCCAAACCAGTCAATTAAATAATGGTGGATTTGGTTGTATTTGATACCCCCTAATACTGATCATCAGTGCTAGGGGATTATCAAAGGTTCTATGGCAAATTTCAGATAATTCTTTTTTGATAGGGATTAAGTTTTAGAATGAAAGGTGCTCAATCATGATGCTTGTTACTTTGTAGACATTTTCTTTTCTGCATTGAAGATGTTTAAGATACCACCTGCAGCTAGCTTCTTTTTGAACCAATTGTCCATGGAACCTAGACACAGATATTGATTAAATTTGTTTTTGCCTTTTTCATGTTAACTTTTGTTTGTTATACATGGCCTGTAGTACCACTACCAAGCCTATTCTCAAGTTTCTTTTTGCTTTCCTGTATGTATCTTAGGATCCTATCATGCAGGGGTAGCAAATGTTTGCGATAAATCCAGCTGTTGATTTTTTTGTTCCTCTTTCTGGATGAGTTGCAGTTTTTTCTGCTGATGGAAATCCTCAAGGTGAAAACTGATGATTGAAAGGTTGAAGTGATGTTTTGATCTTGTTTTTTTTGTTTGGCTTGAGTTGAGTTAAGTTAGTTTGAGAGTGACCAGTTTCCCAGTTCGGGGTTGACCACCCTGCAGCAAACTTGGTCTTCAACCACAACATCCAACTTTCAACCCAGCCCAACCCAACCCAAAAACCGTGTCATCGTCATTCCCAGTCGATCGGGATTGGTTTCCTAGTGAGTCTCTGGCTAATATGTATCTCTCTCGACCCAAGCATCTCTCCTAATCTTACCCTTCTCCAGTCCATCAATAGGTCTCAAGTCACTGCACTCGCCATGGATCTCAGTCCGATCGAACAGCAACAGGCTATCAGTGGACTCAAACAGCGTACCGAATTAACTTCCTCAGAGGACTCTCCATCACCTATCAGACAGAATCAGGACCATCACCCCTCCTTCGACATCCAATCAGAATCCGCACAATCATCCCCAACAATCGTTCTGACCTCTCACCAAACAGATCGCTCCGATGACCAGCATCCAGTGATCATCCACGAGCAGATCGATCCACGATTCGGCCCAGAGACTCTCCCGATCAAATTCCATTCACCTTCATTCAAACCTGGAAGCACCCAAGACAACCTCGCCAACAGCTTTGATGATATCTCACTCGAAAACAACCTCGACGAACCTCCCAAACCTGTCCATCAGGATTCAGAATACAAGGAGGAAGAAGAGGCTCATCATCTCAAACAACCACCCAGTCCACAAGAGCTGCCCACCCAAAACCCTACTCCATCAACTCCCATCTCACCTGAAAACAACAGCAACAACAACCACAAGGGGCGATCTGGATCATCATCCCCTGCACTCACCGTACAATCCTCCCGCCCGACTCCATCTAGAGACTCGACCCTACAAGAAACATCCACCATCGCGTCCTTCTCAACAGCTCAAACTGTAGCCAGTACTCATTCTTCAGTTTCCCCTGTACTGGTCATCTCATCGCTAGAGTCGATCGCCAGCTCCAAAGAAGCCAAGAAATCAAAAGAGTTGGGCGAGGCCACCAAGGCTGCCCTAGCCCTCCTCAAGGGTGAACAGCTCACCAGCGATTTGGGTATCCCATCGGGCCCCAATCAAGAAGCTCAGATCATCTTACAGCCTCTCAAACTAGCCTGTCAGACAGCCTCTTCCGTCCTCATGGTCACTGCCTTGGACTGCATTGGCAAGCTGATCTCGTATAGCTTCTTCAAGGTCTCTGAACCCGGCCCTAGTCTAGAAAACAATGGAGATAACCCCACCAAATCAAGCTTTCAAGTCCTGGCTGATGTCGAGATGGGGGACGAGGTTACTGGGATCATTTGCGATTGCTTTGCCGATGCTGCATGTCCGGATGCTGTCCAGCTCCAAATCATCAAAGCCCTCCTGGCCCTGGTACTGGCTCCCACTCATCCGGGCGTCCGGAGGCTACAAGTTCATCAGAGTAGCTTGTTGCGCGCCGTTCGCACGGTTTACAACATCTTTTTGCTCAGTAAAAGTCCGACTAATCAAGCCATCGCACAAGGAACACTTACTCAAATCGTCAGCCACGTCTTTGGTAGGGTTGAGAAGGGAGAAGAGCCCGCACTCAGAGGCATATCCCTCCGAAGGAACGAGTCTTCCCATCGGCCCCCATCCTCGCCGAAACCTCAAGACAATGATTCTACGGAGCCGCCAGCCGATGTCTCTGGCTCTCCTGTCACCCCAAGGCCACAATCTTCCGTTAACACTTCCCCCTCATCCGTCGTTGTGCACGATGAAAATGGCCCCACACCTTCGGCCCCAGATGCGTCGCAGGATTCACCAACCAAAAATACCGACCAAAAAACCAACGCTGGTGTGAGCAAGGAAGAGGCTCAAGTCACTTTGTAAGTCTCCTCATCCTTTAATTTATTTCTTGACTCTGAATAACCTCGCCTGAATGATTCTGGGTCTGCTAGGGAATCGTTCGAGAAACGCAACTCCTTTGATGGGGTCTCTGATCGTGACGCAGTCGGCAATCCAGGAATCATGAACATGCAAGATTACTATGTCAAGGACGCCTTTCTGGTCTTCAGAGCACTCTGTAAGCTCTCGATGAAACCCCTTGGAACAGAAAGGTCAGCTTACCCCGTCGAGCTAGAGTAACCAGCTCACGGTGCTAGTAAAACTGATGAGTTTTATGTTGTTTTTAGTGAAAAAGATCTGAAATCCCATGCGATGCGATCCAAATTACTATCCCTGCATCTGATCCTGAGCATCCTTAATACTAATCTGGCTATGTTCACCGACCCAAACGTGATCATCTATTCTTCCACCACTCGTGATCAAACTCCGTTCATTCAAGCTATCAAACAGTATCTCTGTCTGAGCTTGAGTCGAAATGCTATCAGTTCGGTACTTAGTGTCTTCGAACTTAGCTGTGAGATCTTTTGGAAGGTCGTTAGTGGTATGCGAACGAAACTGAAGGTAATGTGTCTATTCCAACAAACCTCACCACACTATTTCTTGCTTTATCCAGTGATTTGATGGTGCTGATTGAGTTCGAATTTCCTTCTATCAGAAAGAAATTGAAGTCCTACTCAACGAAATTTTCTTACCAATCTTGGAGATGCGCAATTCGACTGTCAAGCAGAAGTCGATCTTACTAGCTGCTTTGGGTAGATTATTCCATGACCCACAGGCATTGGTCGAAGTGTATCTGAACTACGACTGTGATCGAACCTCCTTGGGGAACATATACGAGCGTTTTATGAACATTGTCTCGAAACTAGCAACGACCCAATACACGACATCGACAACTACATCTCAATCGGTCGAGCTGGTAGGCTCACCGAACGCGCCAGGGAACACCGCATCGAGCGGAATCTCGGGAGTATTTGGCAGCTCGACATCGATTCCTCCATCGCTCAGCACGACCTCTATGTCCCAGGGGATGACCGAATCGACCCTGTATTCTCATCAATCCGTCGAAGCTCAGCTGAAACGACAGAGCCTTGAATGCTTGGTCGCTGGGCTGCAGTCGCTAGTTGCATGGGCTGGCAAGGGGACCGTCCCCGCAAACGCTTCCGCCGCACCCGGCTCCTCCGCGAGCGCCATGCAGTCCTCCTATCCCAACCACAAGGGCCACCAAGCCTCGGACTCTAGTCCATCCCTTTCTGAGTCCGGCGGCCACGGTCAAGACCCACCATCAGGAACTGGGGCACCGATGGCCCCAGCGGATTCGGTCAGCAACATCCATTCACCACATGCTGGTACTACTGGCACCGGCGAACGTGAACGGATCGATGACCCCGATCGGTTCCAGACCGCTAAAAATCAGAAAACTACGCTCATTGAAGGCATCAGACAGTTTAACTTTAAGCCCAAACGAGGCATCAAGTTTTTGATAACCCATGGCTTCATTCGCTCCACTAAACCTAAAGATGTCGCTAGGTTCTTGCTCACCGCTGACGGCTTGAGCAAGGCTATGATCGGCGAATATTTAGGTGAAGGGTATGTGTTATCGATGATTTCTGAAATCATCTAAATTTACCTTTCTGTTACTGATTACCTTTGATTCTCTGTCTTTTTTGTTCCTTGCTGTAATCTTTCAATTCCGCTCATGACAGAGATACAGAAAATGTGGATACCATGCATGCGTTTATCGATATGATGGACTTCAGTAATATGAAGTTCACGGAAGCTATGAGAACTTTTTTGCAAGCTTTTAGGCTGCCCGGAGAGGCACAAAAAATCGATAGGTTTATGCTCAAGTTCGCCGAAAGATATTATCAAGGCAATCCGGAAACTTTGGCCAATGCAGGTGCGATTTTATTTCCATATTCTAGGGAGATCTGATTTCTCCACAATAGCAACACTAATTGGCATGATTGTTTATGTTCATATTAAACTTTTTCGAAACACTGTAACAGAGACTGCATATGTTTTAGCATTTTCGATCATTCTCTTGAACACAGATGCCCACAGTCCCCAAGTGAAAAACCGAATGACTCGGAAAGAGTTTATCCGCAACAATCGGGGGATCAACCAAGGAGCTGATTTGCCGGAAGAGTACCTATCAGACGTTTATGATGAGATCCTGGCCAATGAGATCCGAATGAAGGACGAGGTTGATGCCGCTGTTGGCGTTCAACACGTTCCAACCGGCTTGGCTGGTAGCATCGCTACTGTTGGTAGAGATTTGCAGAAGGAAGCTTACGTTTTACAGTCGGCTGGAATGGCGAACAAGACCGAGGTCAATGCAACTGCTTTTTATAATGGCCACGATGATCATTATTAATACTCCATAAACTCTTCTTGAATCCAATACAGATCTTATTCCGGACTCTACTGAGAGGACAACGTCACCGAAATTCGAGTCTGAGTGACCAATTCTACGAAGCGTCCCACTTCGAGCACGTCAAGCCGATGTTCCAAATAGTCTGGATGCCACTGCTAGCGGGCTTATCAGAGCCATTACAAAACACTTCAGCAGAAATAGAGATGATCAAGTTAAGTCTGAAAGGGTTCAAGCAATCGATCAAGATTGTCTGTCTGTTCGATCTCGAGCTCGAACGGAATGCCTTCCTGACCACCCTGTCCAAGTTCACCTTCTTGAATAATCTTTCGGAAATGAAATCGAAAAATATCGAGACTATTAAGACCCTCTTGGATATCGCTTTGGTCGATGGTAATTATCTCAAATCTTCTTGGAATTTGATCTTGAATTGTGTCTCCCAATTGGAGCGCTTTCAACTCATCTCTCAAGGTGTCGATCTCGACCTGTCTAATAATGAGACGGCTTCCGGGCGGAGAAGGTCAGAATTTTGTTGCCAATATTGATGATCGCTTGCTATGGTAAATTGATACTTAGTGAATCCATCCAATCTCTTTTATATGGACAGTTCTACTCATAAACCATCGAAATCTAAACAGATGAAACCTTCGGAAGAGGTCACTGGTGCTGCTGGAGCAAGTCATATAACCTATGCAGCCGACATGGTATTCTCATCAAGCAGAAGTCTATCTGGAGTAAGCATTCAACTTTGCGCTTCATATCACTTTTTTTTAAACAAAAAGAACTGCCCAATTTATTTGTATCTTTTTTCTTAGACGGCTATTGTAGATTTTGTACAAGCTTTGAGCTCAGTCTCTTGGGAAGAAATTCAGGCTTCTGGGCTATCCGGCAATCCCAGAACGTTTTGTTTGCAAAAGCTGGTCGAAATTTCGTATTATAATATGGGTAGGATTCGGTTAGAGTGGTTCCAAATTTGGTCTATTCTTGGTGAACATTTCAACCAAGTCAGTTTTTCCCATCTTTTTGAACTGATTCATTCATTTATGAAATGAGACTTGAAGAGAGAGAGAGAGGAAGACTTATTTGACCTTTGTTTTTGGTTGAGCAAAACAAAAGGTATGTTGTCATCCGAATGCGAATGTTAGTTTTTTTGCACTGGATTCGTTACGGCAATTGGCGATGCGATTTCTAGAAAAAGACGAGCTGGCAAACTTCAAATTCCAGAAAGATTTTCTCAAACCATTCGAACATACGATGATCCATAGCAGTAATCTTGATTCAAAAGATATGGTTCTTCAATGCCTTAATCAAATGATCTCTGTTAGAGTCCAGAATCTCAGGTCTGGTTGGAGGACTATGTTTGGCGTCTTTTCCGCCGCTTCTAAAGCTAAGACAGGTGGGTAACTTGCTTTCAAAAAATCCCTTGCAGTTGTTTCTTGCTTCTTCTGACTTGGATAAATACTTGCGATTATTTTTGTAGAACGAGTGGTGACACAAGCGTTCGAATTAGTCCAGCGAATCAACAGCGAGCATTTTAGTCAAGTAGTAGCTTATGGTTCCTTTGCAGATCTGACGGTCTGCATCACCGACTTTTGTAAAATCTCTCAGTTCCAAAAAGTCTCTCTGCATGCGATCGAGATGTTGAAGAACTTAATTACCGCCATGTTGGGTTGTCCTGAATGTCCCTTGAGTCGACCAGTGGGCGATCAAGCTGGTGTCGATTCACCTCCTGCTGACGATATAATGCTCAAAGTCAGCTTTCTTTTTTTGTCCTACTCAAGCCCCTTCCGTTGATGATTACTTGATTGATTTGGGATGATTTCTTTTTCCTCTCTTAGTTTTGGTTCCCAATCCTCTTTGCATTTTATGACATAACGATGAACGGAGAAGATTTAGAAGTCCGGAAGCGAGCGCTAGATTATTTATTTGAGACCCTGAAAAAATACGGTGATTCGTTCAGCCCCGAGTTTTGGGATTCGGTTTGCAAGGAGGTTCTGTTCCCGATCTTTGCCGTCTTGAGGTCGAGGAGCGACGTCTCCAGGTTTAGCACCCAGGAGGATATGAGTGTTTGGTTGTCGACAACAATGATTCAAGCGTTAAGAAACTTGATTGATTTATATACTTTCTACTTCGATACTCTTGGGAGACTGTTGGATCGTCTATTAGACCTCTTATGCGAATGCATCTGTCAAGGTAAGGCTTGATAGTCGAAGTAAACTTTTCTTTCCTAACAACTGGTCGCTGATGGGCTTTCACTTTACCCTTTCCTCAAACAGAGAATGACACCTTAGCAAGGATTGGTACATCTTGCTTACAGCGACTGCTAGAAAATAATGTGACCAAGTTGGACGATGAGCGCTGGGATCGGGTGGTGACGACATTTGTGAATCTATTCCGGACGACGACAGCGTATCAGTTATTTGATTCGAACTTGCGCCAGCCAGGACTAGAGTCAGGCGAGGGTGGTGAACCGACACCGTCGCCGATGGCGGACAACAAGCGGTTCATCGTCCCGACGCCATTGCCATTGGTTGCTGAGAGTGAGGATCGGAGCCAAGCGAGCGAGGCGCCAATGACCTCTGCCGAGAGAAAAAAAGTCTTCCGACAGATCATCGTCAAATGTGTCTTGCAACTCTTGCTCGTCGAGACTGTCAACGAACTGCTCTGTAACACCGAGGTCTATCATCGTATTCCTCCCGCTTCTATGTTGCGTCTTCTCGCCGAAATCGATAGTAGTTATCGCTTCGCTAAGAAATTTAATGCCGATAAAGAACTCAGAATGGGACTCTGGAAAGTCGGTCAGTATTCAACCACTTGGATTTTTTTCTTACAGATTAAAATTGTCTTGCCAGGATGTGGTAGTATATAAAGCTGAGCAATGTCTTTTTTTGCAAATGATTATAGGATTTATGAAGCAGTTACCAAATCTATTGAAACAAGAAAGTTGTAGTGCGGTAACATTGATCCGAGTGTTATCAAAACTGTATATCGATCAACGACCGGATCATAAAGCCAAGCGAAGCGACACGGTTGAGGCACTTGTTCCGTGAGTATTTTCTTCTTCTTTCCTCTGTCACCCAAATCCACATGATTATAGGACATATGGGATCTGTAGCAGTTCGACTGAAATGAACTTTTGGAATCTTTCTTTTTTCAGTCTTGCTCTTGAGATCATGACGGGATACGTTGAATTGGACCCCGAGACTCAGGGCAGGAATATTGCTGCTTGGACGCCGGTGATGGTCGAAGTTTTGCATTGTTTCTACAGCCTTGATAAGGAAACTGTGAGTCGAACTGGTCCTCCCATCTCTCCATCCCTTTCAAAATGCACCCTTAAAAAAACCCCTCAAGACCATGTGAAGAACTGACATTGCTCTTAATCCTCTCCCACAAATTGATTGTTCAATTCCACCCTCAAAAGTTTCAGACATGTATCCCGCAACTGTATAGCTTATTGGTGGACTGTTTGGGGGGCGATTTGGTCCCGGATCTCAAGATCTATGTCCAACTTTGTCTGCGTAAAGTTGGCGAACATGGGATGGGTCTTGCCGTCACTAGTCAATTGCCTCGACCTCTCTCCGATGATCCTTCCTCTTCTTTAGCCCCTGTTCCTTACAACCCTGCTGAACAAGAAGATCAATAAAAAAACCCCTTATCTCAATATATGTCACTTGATGATCACTTTATTTATAAAACTACATAAACTAGATTCTATTGTCTAAACTCTGTAATGTCGTGTGATGTTTTTGATCCTTCTGAATGATTATTCAATCCTTTGTACTTTTGTATGTAGAATCATGTTCTCTCTCCCTTTGTTTTTTGTTTGCTGCTTAGCTTTTTTCTCCTCTTCTTTGTTACTGATTTACATGTTCAATTTAAGATTTCTTCAACCCTGATTACATATCCTCCATCTATTTTTTTGTGGTGAAGATATAATGCATTTTATAGATTTACACACTCAATCAAAAGTGCACATTATATCTGATTAACACTCATGGTAGGGGGTATCAAATATAAGAAATCCACCATGAGAAACCAGTCACTTTTCCAAGATAATTCACATGAATGGGCCCCCAAAGGTGTTAAATGAAGAACCAAAATGTTGAAAAAATCATGTATTTTTTCAAGGGCTACAATAAGAGCAACTCCAACGGAGCCGCGACCGGTAGAGATCGTTTGTCCGTACTTTTTGCAGGTACCTGGTACCTCCTGGGGGGTACCCCTCGCACCCGCCCCGCACCTGCCAGGAGGTGCCAGGTGCGGTACTTGGTACCTATTTTTGTGAAAAATTGAACAGGTACCTAGGTACCTCTACAGGTACCCCCTCACTTCCCTACCAAAAATCAAAATGATGGTGGCCTTCTACTCCAAGAACTCCAAGATCCAAGAAGGTACCTTGGCTGCAGGGAAACAGGGACTCAAGGATAACAAGAAGTCTAACAAAAAATCAAAAAGGAAGGTGATGGTTTTGGATGACAATGAAGATTCTTCCAATTAGTTATAATTTGTAGATAGTTTCAACTTTTCAATAAATTATTAAATATGAACAAATGAAAAAAGTGATCTGGGACTGATGTTTTACAATAAATATGAAAAAAATAGAAAAGTAAGATTCTTCCAATTAGATGTAGATATATTACAACAGATATTAAAAAATGCCAAAAAAGTGACTTGTGAGTGATATTTTACAATAAATATGAAAAATAATAATAATAATAAAGTGACTTGGGACTCTGGGAGTGAAACTAGGTGAAAAAGAGAGGGGGGGTACCTGAGGTACCTGCAACGGGTACCTTGGGTACCCCCGGGAGGTGTCTGGTGCGGTACATGGTATCTATTTTCTTGAAAAAATGAACAGGTACCTAGGTATAAACAGGTACCCAGGTCCGAACGAACGATCTCTAGCGACCGGGCGTTCAGGGGCAAACTTTGACTGCCCGGAAGGCAATTTTGCCCTCCAACGGTCCCGCGGAATGACCCTGGGAACACTGCGGGGGGCACTCAAACCTGCGATTGGCTGCTGACTTCTGCCAGTCACCTCCCGGCCGCAACTCATCCCATTCCTCTACAGCACACCCAGACATCACTCGACACACCAGGGCATCACTCCACATGGCACCAAAAAAGACCAAGAAATCGGCAGAAGATCCTCCTCCTTCTTCAACACCAACACCAACTACTCCTAGCTCTCCGAAGAAAAAATAAAATAAAAATAAAAGCAAGCCCACCCCGACAAGCCAATCCACCAACACTGCAACTACCCCAGTCCCAGCTGACAAGTCAAACAACAACAAGGACGCAACCCCAAAAGCCGACACCGACCCAACACCAAATAAGGGATTTCCTCGATGGTCCATTGAAGAGGACAAGAAGCTTTGTATCGCTTGGTTGAACACTAGCCGGGACGCAATCGTTGGGAAAGGCCAGAAGGCCACGACATTTTGGGAACAAATTCATGCAACCCTGACCGAACTCATCACCGAATACAACGAGGAGAAGAATCATTCCAGGAATGTCAAACCTCTCCCTTTACGACCTGTCGGCGCAGTTGAATGTCGTTGGGGACTCATCCTCAAGAGCGTCAACAAGTTTGCTGGCTTCTACTCAAACTTTGAACGACGATTGAAGAGTGGGAAAACTCGTGACGATATTGTAAGCATTTCTAATCTCAGCACATATATATAACAAGTTGTCCTGACTTGTGCTGTGATTTTGGATCCAGCTTAGCGAGGCTAAAGAGCTGTACAAAACCACTTTGGGGTCGCCTTTCAATCTTGACCATTGCTGGGGGATATTGAAAGACACCCCAAAGTGGCAGGCTACCCAACGAGAGAACGAGGCCAGAACAAAGAAGACCACCAAGTCGGAAACAGCCGCCCCCTCAACCGATGCTTCTAGCTCTGTGGTTGCGGTCTCAAGCCCTCGGGTAGTTGATATCGAGGATAACGACTCGGAGCCTAGTCGATCGGTGCTTGGTAATGGGCGTGTTGAAGGTCAAAAGGCGGCCAAACAAAAACGAGCCGATGAGGCTTTGATCGAGAAGATTGTCGCAATGCAAAAGGATTTGGTCAATATTTCACGCGAACGTTTATCCGCGATGAACTCGGCTAAGGACGATGCAATAATGTCAAAAGATCTTTCGTTAATGGACGACGAGAGTCGCGCTTATTATCAAAGGAAACACCGATTGATTATGGCTCGTGAGTTGGAACAAGAAGAGAAGGAGAAAAAAGAAAAGGAGAAAAAAGAAAAAGAGAAAAAAGAAAAAGAGAAAAAAGAAAAAGAGAAGAAGGAACTTGAAGAAAAGGAGCGACGCGAGAAGGAAGCATTGGAGGCCGATGACGAGGAGGAGGAGGCCGAAGATGAGGAGGAGGAAGCCGAAAAAGAGGACGACGAGGCCGACGGGGAGGAGGAGGACATGGAGGACAATGAGGAGGAGGAAGCTTACGATGAAGAATAGTCCACTGAATTAAACATTGTTGTTTTCTTTCACTTTTCTCTTTCAATCAACTCAATGCTTTTTTCAAAGGAATTGTGCAGTTTTTTTTATAAATTCAATTGCACTTCAAAAAAAAAAATCAATTGCATTGTTTTTTTAGAATGAATGGCATTGTTTTGGAAATAAATTTGCCTCCTCTTGAATAAACAAAATACATGAGACATGAGCTTAGGATAAAAATAAAAAAATAAAAAAAACAAGTGAGACCGTAAAAAAAAAAGTGAGACCGGTGGCAAGCAATCAGGGAAAAGAGTGAACAGGTGTAGAATAAAAAAAAAAAAACTATATATCTCCTTCGGAACCGTGCTTGTTCCACAAGTGATCGATCAGATCCTGCTGGAGTAGTGCATGTGAGGTGTGATCTCTAATTGCTTGGTATCGCAAAAGAAACTGCTGAAAAGATTGGTCGTTGGGCCCGTTCGTCGTTATCTTGGCTTGCGTGCGAGGTGTTTGATCGTAGATCCAGTCACCCTCAAGCTCACTCCCGGATTCATCTTCGATCGTCATGTTGTGCAGTATGATTACGGCCGACATGATATCGGAGAGGTCCTCGTGTCTCCAAAATCGGCCAGGGAAGCGGATGATGGCGTAGCGAGATTGAAGGACACCAAAGGCACGTTCAACATCTTTCCGATACGCCTCTTGCAACTTTTCGTAGTGTTTCTTCTTTGCACCTTGAGGTTCCGAGATAGACTGGACAAGGGTAGCGTATGGCGGGTAAATGCCGTCGGTGAGGTAGTAGCCAAGATTGTATTGATTTCCATTAACCTCATAAGAAATCGAAAGCCCTTCACCCTCTTGAAGCTGTTCAAAGATTGGTGATCGATCGAGTATATTAATATCGTTGAGCGTCCCAGGCAGTCCAAAGAAGGCGTGCCAAATCCAGAGATTGTACGACGCGACAGCCTCAAGTACAATGGTCGGTTCCTTCTCCTTTCCAGTGTAGGTACCTTGATCTGCAACTGGGCAATTCTTCCAGCACCAGTGCATGCAATCAAGAGAACCCATCATCCCTGGAAATCCTCGCTCCTCCGCAACTCGCAGGAGCCTCGCAGCATCGTTCTCGTTTGGCTTTCGCAAGTATTCTTGTCCGTAAACTTTGACGATAGTGCGGCAGAACTTCTTCAAACATTCAATTGCAGTTGATTCACCTTCAAAAAAATGAAGAGTCGATTGAGCATGTTAGAATCTGAATTTTTATCAACAAAAACAAAATGGAACGTACTCATACGCAGATACTCATCAATTGAGTCTGCACTGCACCCATATGCAAGCATTCGGATGGCAGCGGTTGCCTTTTGAAGGGTAGAAAATCCCAATCGTCCAGCGGCGTCACGCTTCTGTACAAAGTATCGATCGGCTTTTTCAATATCTTCGACAATCCTCAGGAAAAGAGTCCTTCGCATCCTAAATCGACGACGGAAAATCTCAGGGGGGTAAGTGGCATCCTCGTCAAAGTAATCCTTGCATAGCTGCTGGTGGCCTTCAAGTCGGTTTCGTTGTATCTCTCTTCGTCCAGGTGTTGAACCACCTCGCTTTTTTGGCTCCTTGTTCTTGAGTATTAAGGCTAGTGTTGCTTGAAGCGAGGCAAGGGCATCGTCGTCGTCATCCATCCATTGGAGGATATCGTCGAGGTCCATGGTTTGTGTGGTATATGGTGGAGGAGGAATTGGTCGAAGGGATATGGGAGGATATGTTGGATAGCCCCTCCCAAGCTGCCAGTCCATAACTGGAACTGACCCGCGACCCCTGTGACATGGGGTCGCGGCCCGCGGAACCCAGGCGAGTTGCCCCCCGGACCGCTGGAGATGCTCTAAAAAAACACAGTTTTTCCATGTTTAGATGCAGTTTTATGCTGCACAAAGTGCATGCAATTTCTGCGTTTGGATGTGTTTTATGTGATTAATTTTTTACCACTCAATTTTATGTTTTTTCAAAATTTTAAATTTATTTCCTGCACTGTCAGCTATGGGTATGAAACTCTGGCTTAATTAATATAAAAGCCAGGTACTATCACTGTGCTGAAGGACTAATTTCAAGACCAAGATTACTCCTAGTCACCCTCAAACTATTAACTGGTCCAAACTGCCCACTTAAGAGTTTCTAAGTCCGCACTCCTCATTGAATGGCACTTTGAATAGAGATTGTTTGTTTGGACCTGGGTACCTGTCCATTTTTTCAAGAAAATAGATACCATGTACCGCACCAGACACCTCCCAGGGCCCCCTCCCCACCCGCCCACGCCCCCGCCTCTCCAAAAGGGGTGTGCCATTGCACCCGCCCATCTCAGAGGGGCGGGTTTGATTGCACTACCCTCTGAAGCCTGATTTTCTGAGGAATCATGCTTCCAAGGGGCATGCAATCAAACCAGCCCCTCAGAGAGGGGCAGGCCTGGCTGCACGCCATACATTGGGAGGTGAAGGGAGAACTTGAGTCTACCTTCACTGATGTAAGCAAAACTTGCGGGAAAGTTTTGCTTACGTGAAGGGAGAACTTTATTCTCCCTTCACCCAGAAAATTTTTCCTCCTGGCTGGGAGGGGTACTGTCACAATGGCCAGGAGGAATCCCACCTGGCCATTAGGACCAGTCTTGGTGGCCAAGAGAGATTCCTCTTGGCCTACAAGACTGTACTGAGGATGTTCCAGGTAACAAACCAAGTATGGTATTAGTTCTGCTCATGCAGAGGATCAATGAGGGGAACAATATAAAGCCCTATCAAAAGCAATGAGCCCTCAAAATGAGTGGGAAGATGCTCAGCTATCTTGATGATTGTTCAATTGTAAATGGTGTTGGGATCACGTGCAAGCGTCAAATCAGCTTGGGTTAACACAACGGTGGGCCGCTACACTAACCGTAGCGGTTAGTGTAGCATAACGCAGCGGAATCGCTGTTAGCGATTAGCGTAGCGTAGCGGAATTCCGCCACGACACCGCTAACGCTACGCATGTGGGCCGCAAAAAAGGGCCCACTACGCTGCGCTACAGCCGTTTTTAGCGGTTTTTGGCCGCTTTTTCCGCTAAAAGCGCTGTAGCGCAGCGTAGCGTAGCGAAAAACCGCTAACACTACGGTTTTCGGATGAAAAAAAAGTTTCGCTACGCTACGCTTTTTGGGCCAAAAGCGTAGCGTAGCGTAGCGGCCCACCGCTGGTTAACAGATGCACAAGTTTGCTGAGATCTCCCGACATCTTTGAAGCAGATTGAGATAACAATTTGATCTGATTAGAATTCATCTGTGTAAATAATGGTAGCTTGAGGCTCTTCCTATCACTCATCCCCTCTCTTGATAATTTCTTGGAATGAATAATTAGGTATGCTCAGTTTAGTGAGTTCAATGGTAGCTTGTTGGGTCAATTTCTGCTGGAAGTATCTAGTCTTTGGCGTGCTTGGAGTATGGATACTGAGGGTATCTTGTAACAGTTTATTGATTGACAGGATCAGGATTTTCCTGCATTCTTTGATGACATCCAACTCCGAACCTTTCAGTTGACTGAATGTGCACCTAATCCAGCATAGTGCTTGTCTGTATGAACCATGGAAACAAGATTCATTGACATGCATGAATAGTCCCCCAGTCAAGAGTTTGATAATATCAATGTGTATAGGGCAGAATTGCATACCAAAAAGATGTTACAAAGCATATGATCAATAGTCCCTTTCAGTTTGATCAGTCTTAATTTCTTGAATTCTTTAAGGTCTTGATCATTTGTTTGGCTGGCGCCTTCACGTAATCAAAACTTGCGGGCAATTTTTGCTTACATCAGTGAAGGGAGACTCAAGTTCTCCCTTCACCTCCCAATGTATGGCGTGCAGCCAGGCCTGCCCCTCTCTGAGGGGCAGGTTTAATTGCATGCCCCTTGGAAGCACGATTCCTCAGAAAATCAGGCTTCCGAGGGGCGTGCAATCAAACCCGCCCCTCAGAGACAGGCAGGTGCAATTGCATGGGACATTGATAAACGCACGCCAGCCCCCCTTGCGCACACCAAATCAAATTGGTGTGAAAGGGGACTATTAATCTACAGTGTGAAGACCGGCGTGCATGCCTGCACGCCAAAGATTACTAAACGCATATGTATACATATGCGTTTAGGACTTTCTGCTGTCACATAGGACCCATGCGTGGGTCCTATGGAATGGCAGCATCCTTCAATGGATATGTGTACATATGCCATTAGGAATCTTGG